AAGGTCGGCACTGGTGTCCAGGCGCTGCTGGCCAGGCTCTGCACCGGAGCATCCGGCAGCCTGGAAGAGGAAAGCCGAGAGCTGATGGTGATGGTGTCCTGCTCGGTGCCTGAGGCATGGCTCCAGCCCTGCTCTGGAGCATGGCAGGCTCGGCTCTGGAGGTGGCTCCAGTGCTCTGTGAAGCGGGAGAGTGGAGGGGACATGGCCGGCTGCGGGGGTCCCCACTGGGGTCCGTGGCAGCAGTGGGGAACCCCAAAAGGCCTCAGCTCCCATTCTGCGCGGTGGCTGTGAACACCAGGGCTGAGGGAATGTGTGGGGGTGTGGGTTCCCTGCCCTCCTGGCTATCTCATGCCCCCAGACCTGGCAGAGGGGCCCCTGCACCCCCTCTCCTTCTCCCGCATGGCCGCAGCCCCCGAGGAGGCCAAAGCATCTTCTGCAAAGCCCTTGGGTTGGTGACCCCAGGGGCAGGGGGTTGGCACGCAGTGGGTGCTGCTCAGCAAGGCGCTGTGGGTCCCAGCCCCGGGGACAGGATGGGATGAGACGAGGCGCGGTGGCTTTGTGGCACCCATCGAAAGCAGTGATGTGCCTCTGCCTTGCAGCGCAGCCATGAGCGCGGGTTCGATTGAGCAAGAGCCGTCGCGCAAGCTGGCCTGCTGCGGGGTGCCCCTCATCACCGAGGACATGCAGTCCCTGGCCATCCGCACCCTCTCGGGCACTGACATCAGCAAGCACTACGACCTCATCCGCGAGCTCGGCAAGGGCACCTACGGCAAGGTGGACCTGGTGTCCCACAAAAGCACAGGTGAGGGGAGTGGGGGGTGAGGGAGATGCGGCTGTGCCGGGAGCAGGGTGTCGGGCGTGTCCCGGCTGTGCCCCAGGCTCACCCCCGTCCTCTGCTCACCACAGGCACCAAGATGGCCCTGAAGTTCGTCAACAAGAACAAGACGAAGCTGAAGAACTTCCTGCGGGAGTTCAGCATCACCAACACGCTCTCCTCCAGCCCCTTCATCATCAAGGTCTTCGACGTGGTCTTCGAGACCGAGGACTGCTACGTCTTTGCTCAGGAGTATGCCCCCGGCGGGGACCTCTTCGACATCATCCCGCCGCAGGTGGGAGCCCCTGCCCTTCCCGTGGGAGCCTTTTTGGGCACTGGGGACACCATATCCCCAGGGTGCTGAGCAAAGCTCCCACTGTGCTTCGGTGACCATGTGGGAGGGAGCCCCGTGTGTGGGGACCAGGCATCCCTGTATGGGTTGGCCCCGACCACAAGCACCTACAGGCCAATCTGGGACCCATCACCTATCCCCTGGGTGGCCTAAGACCCATCACCCATCCCTGGGATGGCCTGAGACTCATCACCCATTTCCTAGAGCTGTCTGGGACCCATCATGCATCCCTAGGGTGGTCTAGGACCCATCACCCATCCCTGGGACCTGTCCCTTGGGTAGCCTCAGACCCATCACCCGTCCCCTGGAGGTCCTGGGACCCATCACCCTTCCCCTGGGGTGGCCTGGGACACATCACCCAACCCCTGGGGTGGCCTCAGACCCATCACCCATCCTTGGGGTGGCCTGGAACCCACCACCCTCATCCCTGCTGCAGAGCGAATCCCAGAGAAAAGCAGCTGGGACCGCGTTGGACGTGTAACGACACGCGGATGTGGCGGTCCCCGAGGTGGGTGGGATGGCCGTGGGGGTCAGTGGCGGATGGTGACGCTGTGTCCCCACGCCCACAGGTGGGGCTCCCCGAGGAGCTGGTGAAGCGCTGCGTGCAGCAGCTGGGCCTGGCCCTCGACTACATGCACGGCAAGAGCCTGGTGCACCGGGACATCAAACCGGAGAACGTCCTGCTCTTCGACCGCGACTGCCGCCGCGTC